AAAAGTAATCGTAATGCAACAAACAAATTGTTTTTAGCGTGATCACAATTCTGGACGTATTCTCTTTTTTTTTTTTTTCTTCTTTTTATCTATTTATTTTATTTTATTCACAACAGTATAGCTATTTACAAAACTAAAAAATTATTAATTTGTATATAATATTTATTTTCTAAATATTTAAAATAAAAAAAATTTTTAAATATTTAAAATCAATGAACTTTAAAGATTTTGCCTGCGCCACAAACGTTATAACACGTAAATAAATGTTTCGTCAACCGTTTTGGTTAGTATAAAGACCAAGACACATGATTGGTGACTTGACCAATAAACTCAATTTTTACACGTGATTTGGCCTATATGCGACCAATCAAATCACTAGCATTCCTGATAGGAAATGATCATCAATCACATTTTTATGACATGCTACTTCATACGCGTATGACCGAAAAATTTTCATTATGAATTGTGAACCGCGATTATTTAAACCATTTGTACCTGCTCCGGCAGGCTGCGAATGCAGCAATTCTGTTTGTAAAGTAAGGTTTGCTTCTGCTTGGCGCAAGAATCCAGCGGGTGGATGGCTGTGCAATGCATGCGGTATCTTGTAAGTGCTGACTTAAATAAGTAATTTTGATTAATTACATGATAAAGTATCAATTATAATGAGCAAATTGTATTAACAGCTTTAAGACAAGAGGTTTCCATCGACCTCTCAGCGTGATCATGATGAATAGAACTGCTAAGGTAGATGATTAGATTAATATATATAATTATAATTATCTTCATATATGTTCGTGTTATTTGATTTTATTTCAATGTAGCGTAGAGATACTGAACTTGCAAAAAAGGCTGAACTTGCAAAAAAGGGTCTAACGCTAACCTCAAAAGCGAGAAGAAAGACGCGCCAAAAAGTAATGTCATTGATCACGTAACACGCTTATCTATCGAGCGCAGATGATTAATTACATTCTTTTTTGTTAACAGAAGAGAATCAAAGTAATCAAAGAAAGCACGGAGGTTGAAATGCAGAAACCACCTCAATTAGAATTAGAAGAGCCCCAATCATATCAAGATGAGCCATTACCTTGGGAACGAAAAGAATATTTGAAATATGGGTTGTATTCTATCGATCTTAAACTAAACGATCACCAAAAAAGTTTGAAGGGCAAAGATAAAGTGAAAACCTCGATGGAAATATTTCCACTCCCTATACAATATGGTCAATTTCTCATAAAAGATCAGCGAAATTTCTGTATTCCATGGGATATAATGACTGCTCATAAACAAGGGTTACTACAAAGGGGATTTAAACAGATTAAAACTAGTAATTTGATTTGTCAACTTTATTTTATTTTATTTTTTTTATTTATTTTTTTTTAGCAAAAAAAAGAGGATTTTAAAAAAGAATTAACCTTGGTTCATTATATACAGTACTTATTAGTTAGTTATTCACGCGCATTTATACTTGTCG